TATAAATATATGCACATAGATCTATTTCCCCATTATCATATATAAATATATTTACAAATGTACATGCCTATATTTAGACCTCTATAAATGCCCTTAGCCTCCTAATTCTTTGCTCTATTTCCTTTTACTTTCCTCTTGTCCCACTATCATGCAGAGCTTCCTTATAATGCACTTTTGAAGCTCTAGCTTTTTTAATAGGAGGCAAGTCTTTAGCATATGAATTGGTTCATGCCAGTAAAAAGGGAGCTAAATTGTTCACTTGCAGATGCTTTAACTTCTTAAGCTTTTCATGTATCATGGATCAGGGGTCTGTTTCTGGCCCTCAATGAGACTCCCAAGTTGCGTCCTGATTTATTTTATATGAACAGATATTAAATAGGCAAATTGAGACTAAAAATTTATCACAAATTCCAAAGCCCCATACCCATAATCCATCTAGTTAATTCCAACTCACAACAACCCTTTAAGACGGGGCAGAACTGCTCCATAGGGTTTCTAAGGCTGTAAATCTTCAATGGAACCAGGCTGCCACATTTTTCTCCCTAGAAGCAGCTGGTGGGCTTGACCCACTGACCTTTTATAAAGCTGTAGAGCACTTAACCACTTGTGCCATTTTAGTATGCCTAAAATATAATTTGAAGATTAATCTAGGAAAAATGAAATATAGCTATATCTTATCATTTGTTATAATTTGGCCGAATATGAAAAAATAGTTTAAAAGCATTTTATGAGATGCATTATACATAACATTCATGAAAAGTAACTATATTCCTTACTGGCTGCTAGTTCCATCTCTTTTTGAACTTGAACCTCGACCTCTGTGTTCACCATTCTAAGAAGCAAAAAAAAAAAAAAATCCATAATGACTAATTAGTATGCCATAATGAATTAGCCCTAATTAGTAAACTCTAAAAAGATTCAAATTTCAAATTTCAACAATCAGATAACATAAAATAAATGAATAAAGGTGGACTAAAGAATACCAATATATTACTTCAGTAAGTCAAAGAAACTTATAGCCATCAATTTCACATAAATAATTCATTACTTACAAATGAAGCTGACTTGTTTCTTGAATTGCTTGAAATTATAAATTTTTACATATCAAGATCTCTTTAGAAGAGTGTTTATACACTTTTATTGAATTAAGTAAATTTTTAAAATTAAAATTACAAATGTGTAAATGATTACTTTTAGATCTACTGTTTAAAAAGAGAGGCAAAACAAGGTGAGCAGTGGATGTAGGGCCATTCACTGATAAGATGGACACACCACAAAGAGCAAAGAGGGAGTAGCATGTTTAGCTATGGGATGGACAGTTTACAGAAAGCCCTGAAATCTAAGACCTTGGAGCTGATCCCTGAGAAATGAAGACCAGCAGGGTAGGATTAAATAGGCAACTCACAGTCAAACAATATTCAAACACTGCTTTGACCTCTAAGTTCCACTCCAAAAAAATACTTAGAAAACAAAGACTGGTATTAAGATTTCCATTCTGTTAATTAAAAAATAACTTTTATTATCAAAATAATGTTAACAACCTGAATGTTCACTCAATAACTTGTTAAAGATGGGAGATCTATTAAATATCCTGGTATTAAAAAGTACTTCCCAGAGAAAAGAAGAAACAATAACATGATTCAACTCTAATTTTGCATAATACAACAATAATTTGGGGTTCATTCTATAAAATAGATTTGAATGGAATCAGTAATGCTGAACAGGATAGGAAAATGACTTAATGACTAAACATAAGGAAAGAAAAAAAACCATCAAGCTATGTATAGAGTTTTAAACCTGGATGATGAGGAGTAGGGAGTGGGAGTGGAGTGAAGGAAAGAAGAGGAGCCATGCTTTGATGGGGCTTGACATATGTTGGATATGCTAGATTTGAGAAGCCAAGTGTGCAAGTTCATTACTTTCATCCATTATCTTAATCCCTACAATATTCAAGGAGACAGGTAACAAACACTTTTAGCCCCAAACAGATAGTTTACGGCAGAGATAGAACATCAACTAAGCACTTTGAAATCTAACTTTATGATCCTGCCATTACATCACACAGTCCCGTAGGACTAAATGTCTAGTTACAAAGGCTTGGAGCTAGAAATAGGTATTTATAAGAGACATCGAAGTCGTTGTTCCAAAGAAAAAGGAGTCCTGGTGGCACAGTGCATAAGCACTCTGCTGCTAAACAAAAGGTTAGTAGTTTGAACCCACCAGCCACTTGGCAGGAGAAAGACGTGGCAATGTGCATATGTAAAACGTACAGCCTTGACATCAAACAACAGGAACAGGCTGGTCCACTCATTTCAAAGTATGGGGAATTTTACATAATATTAGCGAGCAAGTGGGAGTTCTCCACAAGCTGGATAAAGTCTGGAACTGCTTGTAATTAAATTTGATTTTGTATGGTATCCCTGCATAGCATATGTATTGATAGTAAAAATAGTATTGTCTTATAAATATTAAACACTTGGCCAATATGTGGCACCAAAAGAGGGTTTGTAGGCTGTAGATGACAAAGATCGGGGTTTCAATGCAGAAAGGTGTTGGAGTAACAACAATTAAAATCACAGGTAGAGGATTCTGCCTCACGATACATGGCTGGTCAAAGAGAAAACTAAGATAGCCACTAAAGTAGCAATGATCTCAAATGAAGATATTTCAAGATAGTTTAATACAAATGTGTCTCAATTTCAATGCTCCTGGTTTTAATTAAGTGAGTTATAGATCCTAAAAATAAATGCAGCATATTTTAGTCTACCAGTAAACCAGAGAGGCCATGGGCTTTAGCCCTAAGATCCCCACCCCAACCCCAACCCCAGTGTTTGCTCAATGAAGCATAAATTACCACATGACATTGTGAAGAGATTTACATCCAATTGAAAGGAAATATCACCAATAAATAATAAAGCAGGATTGGTTTCACAGGTTCTAAAAAATCGGATGGTGCCTGGCTATCAGGGGAAAAAACCCTCTGGGGTCTTAAACGCTTGTGTTAAAACAAGAGCTGTTAGCTAAGTCCACAGGAAAGGAACACATCAGCCTGGGTTATCCAAGGATTTTAAATAATAAAATCCAAGATCAAAGGAGGGAATTGTATTAGAACTTAAATTCTGATCACCCAGTTTGCAGAAGGCTACGGATCACAGTGAAAGCCCAAAATCCATTTACAAAGTCCCTACACAGATTACACCTCCAATGAACTCCTTCAGACCATTGACTAGGGATCTGACGAGCCATACCTTCAGCCATACCCTGGAAAGCAGATCACTGCAGACATAGGTTAAAATTTAACATATTGTCGTTTGTCTTCCCATTAGACCCATTTTAATGTGTTCTAGTTTCCATGAAATTATACTTTCTTTACATTGAAGTTTTTGTTTTATTTTGTTATTGTTTACTTTTTAAATATAATTTGCTTTATATGAAATCCAGAATAGGTAATTCATAAAGACAGAAACGACATTATTAATTTGTGGAGAGGGAGGCTTGGGAAAAGAGAAGACCTAAGAATAATGGGTACAATAAGAAAGAAAATGTCCTAAAACTGATGATTGCACAACTCTTTTTAATATATTTAAATCATCGATTTTTATGGTATGTGAATTATATGCCAGTAAAACTATTTTAAAAAATTAGGCTAGTTGGAAATGATTCAAGTGACTGAAAAAAGTAACAACAGGAAAATATTAAGCAATTACAATACCAAATCAATGTACATAGGAGGAAAATTAGACCTTTAAATAATCAATAGTTCAATATTCTTGTTGTTTTATTTCATTTTTTTTGGCAAACTACACTCTGAATTCTGGCTGAAATGTTTTCCTAATCTTTCGAATTAATTTCCACTTTAAAAAAATATCGGCTTCCTTTTTAATGTTAAATTTCAAATTTTTTATGGTAGATTTCCAAATATTATTTAAGTATTTACGCGGCATAGCAAAATTTGATTTCATATTTCTAAGACCAGTTATAACTCTATATCCATTTCTTTTGCAAACTTGAATCCCATTTTTACCAAGTCTACTACTTTCAGGCAACAAACATTAACAGTACCTGCCTGCACTCAGCTATAGTTCAGGATGAAGATAAAGATAACGAAACATCAAGAGGAATACCTTGGAGTCCCTTTTCTTATGTTCGTCTTTAGACGATCTCTCCTTTTTATCCGTGCCGCGTCGGTGCCTCTCTTCTTCAAAATGGACACTCTCTTTATGTCGTTTTTCTTTATGTCTTTCTTCCCCTTCCCTTTCAGAACACAAATTGAGTTTTTCTTTTGGAACTTTCTCTCTTTTTCCCCTTGTGCTGCTTTTTTCTCGATGTTTCCTCTCTCGCTCATGCTCCTTTGGTTTCCTGTGTCGTCTGTCACTTTCTTCTTCATAAAGCCAGTACTTCAGAGGATTTTCTTTGTTGTCACCGTACTGCAACTGAGGAATAGGACATACTGAAAATGTGTGTGCGTATAAAATGTGTACTTCTTTTAGATACAGACCAAAGCAAAACGCCATGCAGTCAAGTCCATTCTGACCCACAGTGACCCTGTATGGACCTCTATGTATAGGCTGTACATTTTACAAGAGCAGGTAGCTTCAACTTTCTGCTGCAGCACAGCTGGTGGATTTGAAGTGCTTGTGGTGGGCAGTCCAATCGTTACATGACAGGGCTCCTTGGATACATTATGGTTTAAAAGAAGAAGAAAACGACAACTACTATTGCCTTCTGCTGTGCTGTATGCTGCTGCAGGTGCCTCAAAACTTATGTTCACACCAATCCTCTACTATTAGATGATGTTGCCTTCCCCACACCTACAGAATAACAGAGAAGCTGACCCAGTTGCCTT